CTTGATAATCGCTCAGCTGGACCGCGTCACTTTATCGATCGATATCTAGGTCAAGACAAAGATCGTGTATAACAAGATAGTTCACTCCTCTATAATTGAGCCAATTAAAAATGTGTCCTCAATATTCAGCGGCGCCCACTTCGAAAAAGTGTGGACTTTGCGATCGGAGTTACCCTACTTGTGCGAAAATATATAAATAAAATAAAAGTGAAACCAATAAACTGTGCTATTCCTATTCTTCTTCTGATGCAACGAAAGAGAGCTTCAAAGACTGCAGCGTCATCTGAACCAAAGTGCGGACTTCTGCAGACACCTTTTCGGCCGAGCGGACTATTTTGTTATGTACGAACTTTGGCCAAGAGACGCTCTTGAGGTCAAGATAACTTGCAAAGTCATTGGTCACTATTTAAAACTTTGACCTGTAATTGTAATTTACGGCACATCATTTTCCATGTAAGGAATGCTGAAATTTTCCATTGAAGTCAGCGTCTATGCCCTTTATAGCTGCGCGCTTCCCAATCTAAGTAGGTCATCCCTAAATAGGGGCTGCGCGCCTCCCGGCTCATGTCCTTTATAAAGGGCCTGTGCGCTATCATGGTTTAAGTTTGTCCACTTGTAGTGTCCAGTTTGATAGTTTATCACATGTGCCGCCAACAAAGTTTAGCTTATTATGCGAGGTGGAGGGCCGTACACATAGCCTCGAGGCCAGGCTATAGATGCGTATGGGAGCCGTACGCATTGCCACTTCGTAAAAAAACACCTGTAGTGCTATTGGCCCACAGGGGATACAATTTCCCCAAGACCATTTATCATTTGCCAACAAAATTGCAAGTTATCTCCCCTGTGTTTGGTTCCCCCATCCCCCCCCCCCCCCCCGGAATCCACAAAGTCCGTCAATCACATATTTTTAATTGAGAATGTATAGTTTTCCAAATACTAAAATTAAAAGGAAGAGGCTAGCCGTACTTAATGACGGCTAGACTGGCAGTCTAGCCGTACTTATTCTTAATATGATGGCTAGACTGACCATTTAAAAAGGCCAGCACTATTTCTCCGAACGTTCGGGAAAATAAAGCTAGGCACTATTTCTCCGAACGTTCGGGAAAATAAAGCTGGGCACTATTTCTCCGAACGTTCGGGAAAATAAAGCTGGGCACTATTTCTCCGAACACTGAAATCTCATCCTTTCCCGCAAATTTCGGATATTATATAGATCTATAAATATAGTATAGGCCTACCAAAGATTTTTCGTATACAATATGGTTCAATCGGTCTAAAAAATGTCCGCAGTAAATATTTATATAAAGAAATGCTACAATTCCAAACAGTTTTTCGCTACAGATATGACGTGTTGCCTATGAAGGGTGCTGCTCTTAAACGTAATGTGTTGTGTTCACTCGTGTGCTGTCTAGATCTAGATCTAGATCTACGGAGGGTTATTGATAACGACACATAGAACTGGCATCTGCGTTTGTCACTGCTGCGACCAATGTACTGACACTGGCAAGCCCCTTAATGTGTGTGATTCCACAATTTACATCTAATATCCTGCACTTTTTAAAAAAATTACGCACATTTAGTGTTAAAACAGCCAATCTTCTTCGGACAGGTGGACACATGCCCTTATTTGTTAATGTTTGTTGTTGTTGTGGGTTTGTGGGCTGTTCTAATTTTGATTTCTTTCTGTTGTGAAACCTTTCTTTTTCACGTTTTTACACTCATCTAAAAATCTCTAGACCAGCTCTTGAAAATTGAAATAGATATAGACCCAAAAATTTGCCCCTGTGTGTGTGTGTGTGTGTGTGTGTATGTATGTATGTGCATGTGTCTATGTGTGGTAGTAAGTGGAGAGTGAGGAGTGTGTGTGTGTGTGTGTTTGTTTTTCGGGCTTTATTTCAGCCTTTATTCAGTAACAGTTCAAAGTATACAAAAATAGAAACACAGGATCCATTCACTCCAGGGCTCATGAGTCGTTCATCTCTTTCAGTTTCACTTATTCATTCAATTCCCGTGTTTTCTCCCGCGGCTCATCCCCGTCCGCATGACTTTCACACTCCAACCCCTCCCTCCAGGCACACACAAAGAAAACCTCACTCATTCCCTTGCACCCTGCGAACCATGGACAATAATATAGGCAAAACACTGCCCGAGCTGCATTCCTTTCGTTCGTGAGCTGTGGACCAGGCCGGGGGGGGGGGTCGTCGTCTTGTAGTTGCTGTCACCTGTGGATACACTCACACATTCTTCCTTTCACCCGCTCTTTCACTCACAGTGTCTCTCCATCCACAGCTCAGCTCGTCATACCTTCAAAAGTTGCCCACTGGTCATGTTTAGTTAGTGTGTGTACATGTGCATGATGGTAGTGGGTGTGTGGTGGGTATTACTGAAGGTTGTCTGTAGACGGGCTTGCCATGCCTTGTTCCTTCCCAGACCAGAGGCAGAATGAAAGTTGGCGCAGAACTCTCGCAATAAATAGGCAAAAAATCACGAGACTGGAAGCCGGAAACCGCTCGGAGAAATAAAGATCGGCACTATTTCTCCTTAAAAAAAAATTTTTTAAGGCCTTAAAAAAATAGGCCTACTGAATTGTAAATATAAATTTTTTGTGTGCAGTACCTAAAGTATTTGTATTTGAGGAGACGAAACCAGGTGCCTTAATGATAGTGCATGTATTTTAAACCTCTTGTTTTCTAGACTAATGTAAATACTATTAATAGGGCCAAAGATAAGTACGGCTAGACTGGCAGTAAGTACGGCTAGCCTGGCTGTCTACCCGTACTTAATATTGATGGATGAATTGTAAATGAAATTTTTCGTTTGCAATGCCTAAAGTATTTGTATTTCAGACAAAACCAAAAGGTGCCTTACTGACTTGCATGTATTTGAACCTGAATAATTACTAGATTCTAGATCTAGATCTAATGAGACCTGAGTACTTAACAGGCTTGAGTCGATAGGGCCAAACCTAGATCTAAGTACGGTTAGCCACTTCGAAAATAAAAAGATGAACAATAGAGTAAGAAGTTACACATCTTCATCTTGTAATCCAACACAGTATACATAGGAGTAAACAAAGAAATAACTGTTCTCAATTATACCGTGAAAGTGGCTATTCTCACCCGCCCGGAAGTTCTCGCAAGATCAACTCCTCCCCTCTTCTCTCTCTCTCTGTCTCTTTCTAAATACTGTCTATCGGTGTGGACGATCAAATTGACCAAAACAAAGTTAAAAAATGATGTTAAAACACAAAAGTAAATAAATTTGGTTGTCTACAAAGATGCTACGGCTATTTAACTTTTCGAATCGAGCCGAACTACGCGGGTCGCCATTTTGTTTTGCCCGGAAATTCTCGCGCTACTCCTCTCTCTCTTTCTCTCTCTCTCTCCACTGCCCACAGACAAAATTGTACGCTTTTAGTAGGCTACAATTGTAATGGAACGTTTGTTCACGGCACAGAATTCTACAATTTTTCTGTTATCACAGTGTAGAATTCTGTGGTTTAGGGTGAACGCAAAATTTGGTGAACGCGCACCGGGTGAGAATAGCCACAAGACTCGCCTGCACTATTCTCACTCCGGGTGAGAATAGAGGTGGCCTTATACCGTAATATATTGTTATTATTATAATTGTTTGACGAAAGAAGCAAGCCCACATCCGGAGAAGCTAAATTCTAAATGAAATACTGTTCGCAGACGACCAAAGTCAAAGTCTACTGCATGACAATAACACTGAACTGCAGGAACACGCTGACAAACAATCAAATCTGTAGAAATGAGTGCGAGATGGAATGCCTCAGGAAAACATTAACAAGAAGAACGGATAAAATGAGAAAAAATAAAAGAGAACAAGTTGGGAAACACCACGTTTGAAACAGATCTACATTGAAAAAACAGCCCCAGCTTATTTGCCCATGTGGGCCAATAATAAGAGGAATAAGACAGCAAAAAAAAAATACTTGCCTCACACTCAAGTCACTCAAAAGTGTCACACACGTCTCACTCTCACTGACTGAGAACTGTAAACACTGTGTCTCAGCGATGCGTGTGAGAGGGTCACAGTGGCTGTACTGCAGTAATCTCTGTAGTCTACACTGTTGTCACAGTGTGTAGATCTAGACAAGTAATCACAGTGTAGTCAGTAGATCTAGATTCTAGAAATCTAGATCTAGAATCTAGTAGTGTAGTGTAGTGTAGTGTAGTGTAGTCGAAGTTGTGTGCTGAGGAAACGTGTCCTAAACTGTAAATTTGTTATTTCTCAACTGCTTAATACAAGCAAAACTGATGACCAAGACAGTTTATGTAAAAAAAAAAAAGAAAAAACTTGATTTCTATTAGGTTTTCATAACATGGAAACACCTAACATTACATTACACTAGTGAACCGACTTTCGACACCACAGCTTCGGCATTGTTGCAAGTGAGCGGAAGTAAATAAATTTTGAAGTCTCAAGCTCAAGTCTAATAAACGGATAGTCTAGATCTTAGTCTAGGTCGTGATAATAAAAATAATAGTTTCAGTTCAAAATTAGATGATATAATGGCTTGGTGTAGAACAATTTATTGAAACATTTAACTTTTACAACGCTATCTAGATCTAGATCTACTTGATTACATTCGGAAAAATGTTTATTTTATTTGAAATATTGCAAGGGTAGTCTGTAGGCTATGGTTTGTTCGGAAATTTAGAATGTACCCTTTGATGCTTTCGTCATTCATTCGTTCGCATTTTATTTCTTCGTACAAACCGTAATTATTTTGCAGTTGCTGTGGTGTTTTTATTAAATTATCATTGTTATTGCACTTTGTTTAACTCATTGGTGTAACATTTTATTTTTATTTATACTCATTCATGCCTACTTTTGAAACGAATGCACTAGGTTAGGTTTTAGTTATTTGTTTAGATTTTCTTTTCTGAATCTAGACCTAGACGTCGAGATTTAGTTTGGAAATGGAAAGCATTTGAGAAGAAAGGTTAATATTATTCTACTTCCTGCGCATTATCGATGACGTATTGCGCATTTAGAGTATTCCTGGTACTGGTTTCACTTTCCTGACGGATCGAGCATCTGATTTAGACTGAATGACTCATTAGTTTAGTCGTATTTTTCTCGGAGCTGAACAAAACTTAAGAGATGAATCGTCTTTTTGGTGGTGGGAAGAATAAAGGCCCTTCCGCCACAAACCTTCAGGCCCAAAAATCCAAACAAATTGAGAGCCTGAGAAAAGTAGGGTAAGTAGACCTCTAAACTCTAACTAAGACTAAGACCTAATCTAGAATCTAGATTCTAGATCTAGAGTTAGAGATCTAGATCTAAATCTAGCTAGATCTAGATCTAGATTTTCTTCTAGATCTAGAATCTAGAAATCTAGATAATCTAGGACTCAAGTTCAAGGCAGGTTAGGCCCAGGCCCCTAGGCCCTCTAGACTAGACGAAACTCTAGATTCTAGATCTAGCCCCTACATCTAATCTAGATCTAGATTCTAGATCTAGAGATTCTAGATCATGTAGATGTAGATCTAGGAAGGACTTCCGTAACGAGCGACCACCCCAACTTACGCAATAAAGATTAAAAGAAGGGACTTTGAGTGGGGAGCAATTGCCAAAGGCAGTCTTTATTTGGACTCGAGTCCGAATAGAAAAAATTCATATCGGACTTATCTCTGCAATAATGTCTTCCAAACTGAAAGCAGGACCCATCCTGATATACTCAGAGCATTAAGCAAAAACAAGCACAAAATTCAAGAATTTATGAAAAGGGGAGACAAT